ACGGAAGAAATCGTTCTACACCGCCTCCGATGGCTCGGTCATGTTTTGCGTATACCTGCCGATCGACTACCTTTCCGTGCTCTCTTTTCTCGAGCTAGGCAAGGTTGGAAGCTTTGCGACAGTCAAACCATGACGTGGCGTAGAGGCATGAAGAAGCTGACTTGAGCATTGGCTTCGGTTGGTGCAGCCCGTCTTCTAGGCTGGGGCCCAAGTGATGAGGATTGCCTATAGCTACAGACGCTGGGAGATATGGCTCAGAATAGATGTCAGTGGCGGGGTTGCTGTGTGGTTCGTGGCGCCGTCACGAAATCCGGCTCTGTGAAGGGTNTCGGCCAGTCCTGCTATACGGTGCAGAAACTTGGCCATTAAGAAAACAGGATAAAGACAGACTGTCGGTGTTTGAACACCGCTGTCTACGCAGCATTGCACGAATCTGGTGGGGTAGCCGGGTGAGCAATGCTGAGGTTAGGGGCAGAGTTTTGGGTAAATACGGTCGCCCAATGGAGCAAGTGGTCGACATCCATAGATTACGTTCGCTGGAACATGTGTTACGCATGTCACCAGATAGATTGTCGCGGCGAGCGACGTTCGCCGAAGCAGACACCGCGTGGAAAAAGGCCAAGGGTGGTCAAGCTAAGAACGGGCACGAGGGTATGAAAACCCTAACCCGGAGACTGGGTCACATAGGTCCTGTCCCTACCGAAAGGTCGGATGTCGACAAGGGTCAGTTAAACTGAGCCTTGAAATGTCCAACTCGTCGTTCCAGATAGCGTTGCTGATGATGAATCCATTATTAGCACACTTATGGCTATTTTTCTTTGGGCACAAGCTGGATGATGAACTTTTGTTTGTGTTTTCCCGTCGTATACTGAAATGGAGTATTTACACTTATCAGGCTTATTAAAGGTTCGTCCGACGACCAAAATTATTGACCTTGGCGTAGAAGAAACACCTATGTATATTCAGCATACTATGGTTATTTTGCCAGAAACCTACCTCGATCAAGTCAAAAAACCGGTCCACTTCTGCATTGAAGGCTGTCACACGGATCTCTCCGCTCTCATCCACAACGACAAAACTAAACAGCTTTCCATCGCGACCTTGTTTGCTCCAAGTCCGGATTGCAGATTTTTGTGATACACGAGCGCGAATAGTCCACCGGTTCTGATATGGATTTAGACCCTGAATGGGGAATACTCGAGGTAGTCCGGATGATGGAGTCCCGGGGGTGGATGGTTGTCCACCAGGAAAAGGTCCTGAAGATGATTTCGGAGGAGTCTTGACGCCGTTTGGTGCCGGTTTGAAAGGTGCTGAAGATGGCTGAGGTTTTGTTGTTTCCGCTGTATTGTCAGAAACTGTGCGGAACGGAGCACGGGTGGAATCTAGAATTGTCCGTAGGATCATAGTTAATGCGAAATAGAACTGAGTTTCAAAAAGGCTTCGCCTACAAAATGTGAAAGGACTACTACGCAAAAGGGGTTCGTAAACATACCTCAGAGAACAGCTGTCAATGGTCGATCAGATCAGCAATCACATGAAAAACAAATGTCAATCAGATAGCTGAATATTCAACTTAAGATAAATGCTTTTCCTTGGTGCTGTCTATATATTTACCAATATACCTCTCAGAGAGACGATCGGTTGCATGCAAATACACCGAAAAGAGGGCTAGGTTCTAGATTCCTTGTTGAGGAACTTAGAAGATTACTTTATCTGTGCACTCGGACAATCGAATGTATCACCAGAAAATCAGTATCACTGGGACAGTTGGTCTGATTTATCCCGGTTCTTCTACATCAGCAATGAGTCTCGACCAAAGGAAGTCCGAGGTATATGGCGTAGACGGTTGTGGTTCGACTACAGCAATACTGTAATCAGTCATTTGTGTTCTAGTACCCGAGAACCCGTCCCCGGAAATCTGGCTTAACTTGATTTGAAAGCCAATCCGAAGAGTGGACAATAAGAGGATTGGGAGTAGATAGTGCTGTGGCTCTATAAGAAAAACGCATCATGTGATATAGTTTTGTGCAGTTTGTATCAAGATACTGTAAACTTAGCAAAACTGGTGTTTCGAATTACAGGCAATGTTATTACTTGAAGTATTCTTTACGTGATATAAACTTGGACAAAAAATGGCGAAATCAGATGGGCTGAAACCGCCAACCAATCAATAAGGCTGGCAGCAATCTGGTCAACCAATCTTTCGATGAGTTCCCCTGTCCTCGCCCTTTCCTATAAACGATGATCTTTATATAATAAATTAATTCCTACACGCTTCCAGGTACATTCTATTTCACTGCTCGAGGAGTTTCTGTATGGACGGGAAAACGATACCGGAAGATACCTTGACAACCCAGTAAAAAATTAAATCCTGTGCGGTTACAACAGAACCAAGGCAACACAAAGTTGTTTCTGTTGACACAGGGATATAAACATTCGATCGCTATCGCCCCGCAGGGCGTAGTAACAGTGACCTACCCGTTCTCACTAAGTCAAACGTTATATATTGGTTCGAATGTGTATGTAGAGTCTACTACATCAGCTACGTAATCGAGCGGATGAGCATATTCTGAAGTGGAGTCAACGCGAGGTCAGCACAATGAATGCTATGCCATCACAGCCGGACATGGTTCGAACGTACAAGACTCGTGCGTTATCAATCACAAGGCGTGTTAGCAACATGCCCTCAGATCAATGACGATCATTCATAAATATTTATTCGGTCAGAAGGATACGGTTACTACGATATGCAGAAGTGATGGCGATCGAACGGAAGAACCTGTCACCTTGGTTCAATCCTCGAAATAAATCAGACTGTATTATCCACCTTTTGATGACTCCACGTCCCACGATAAAAAAATTTCTTCTTGTAGTTGACACTAGCCAAGATGCAGGGAAAAGATTCCAGCAATACACCCCATAACTTTGTGCTCATTGTTCATTCATTGTTCGAATGTTGTTACCGATATTCATGCATCGACTTTCGACACACTGGCAAATGTTTGCCCAAATTTTAAGTCGGGGTACGTTCAGGTTGATTTATAAAGTCACTAAACCAAAGGCCCTGATAGGTGCTCTCAGCAAAATCGATAGAACTATCCAGCAGATTGCCTGAAATTGGTATGCATCTCATAAGGCGAGAGAAAGCAGTAAGACGATTGCCTTCATAACATTTTTGTTTTTCAACACTTTGGATAATAAACAAGGTGCATCTCGAGGACCCCAGCTCAGTATTGAAATTCAAATGTGTAAAATTAGATGTTCTTTTGCGATTTTATCAAGAAACACCTACTTTACTGAGTGTCGTAATAGGGCTTGAAAAAGAGGATGCTTGAATGTTTTCAAAACTGAAGTGTACGCCGATGACACGATTCGGGGCGGATAAAACTGTTCCTGGAGAGACTGGGCAAGCAATCAGTCAACAGACGTCATGTTAACGTAGTATCCGAACCAGTTATGGCCTCGGGTGTTGCATTTTAGTTTCCTCGTGTTGGTGTGAAAACACTGCCACAAGAATGTAGTGAATAGGGCTCCCAAGGCGAAGGCTAGTTGAGATGCTCGGTTGTACTGGAGCATTTTACTAGGTTCAGGGGAAGTGACCAGTCACTGCCCAAGACGCTTACCCCTAACCATATTGAAGCTTTGTGACTAATAATTTTGAACTATGCTGTGCAGCAACGTAACAGTACATCTCATAACTTTTCCTATATTTCGAACTTCGTACATACCAGGTTTCGTTCATTTGAAAGGAGGTTGATCTACATATCTGAGCAAGATTCTTTAAAAAAACTCACTTGTGTCATGTTCGACGCCGAGTAGCTCCAAGTCCAAAACAATTAAGACATACCTACGTTTAATAACAAGATTAGACAATGCTGAAGAAACAACTCACTTATTGTTTTGCACATTATTGCAAACGTATTTCTTGATTCGAACAACAGTATCATTAACCAACTGCCCCCCTTCAATCAAGTGATTCAGTTGCGTCGCCAACATTGCAACTATGAAGCCATGAGAAATGAGTGATAAGACGTTGAAAATCTACATGAATGTGTTTTAACGCCATCCGACAAAAGCAAACGATAACGATTTTGCCCGCCAGTGCCACCAGGTACAATTTTGTAACCCTAAGTAAATGAATGTAAATTACAAGCATATTCTGAAACAAACCAGTAGTTTAAGAACAGGTTCATCGACCGTTTTCCCCGAATTGATGAGCTGAAATAGAAAAATGATAAAATACTCTATAACTTACATCTATTGCACCGGATGTCAGCTGCGGCATGATGACGTCTTCGTCTGCAAAGAAATCAAAAGAAAAATGTGAAGCATCAGAAAAAGTTATGATTCAAGTACGTTACAACAAGCAAAATTTTCAAGCCGCTCATTTCCAACAGAGAGAAGAGTCATATCCCCCTATCACTTGACTCACACAAGCCAAGGAGACCTGCGGGATTTATCCTCCTTTTCGCAGTTCGGTATGGCCTTTTCTCCATCGAAATGTAAGATCTTACTACAAAACGGACAAGAGGCTACATCTGTTCTCACGCTCATGAGCGGCCAAATGGAAATCGTCGATTACTTTACTCAACTCGTGAGTTGTTTCAGCTCCGGAGGATTGATAAAAGAAATATCAGCGGGCATCCGCAAGGTCCGGATGGCCTTCGCTAGCCGACGTCACTTGTGGCGACGTGACCTCAGTCCCTTCTTGAAAGGCCGCCGTCACCATACATACTGTCTTACTCTACAGCTGTGATAGTTGGTTCATTCACGCGGAATACGTACGAAGATCAGATGTCTATGACCACCGTTCCCTTCGTTGCTCCGATGGTGTTTAAGCGACTGTTTGGTTGCTGCCTTTCGGCTGCCCATTTGAAGAGAGTAGAGTGAATGACAAGAAAGCTGGGGCCAACACTGAGATAGAAGGAGCAGTTAGAGTAAATTTGCAACAGGCGAACGCGAATTTTCACGACGCCTAGTTACATCTCCCAGGGTCTCTAGTCATCGATACGACTCATAGCGAGGTCTCTGACCGGAAAGCTTGAGTCAAATAAAATGTCCACGTCCTCCTAGTCAAGGTTTTTCTATCCTCGTGTCTGCTCTAGGACGCAATTCGTATTGTATTCACAATACTTCATGGTATGTTTCCTTTCATTCACTGTTCATATTAGAGTCTGGAGTAAGCGATCGAGGGGATAAATGTGCCAGCTGGAAGCCTCAATCCAGGAAAACATTTATATTGTCTGGTACAATGTGAGGATCTTCACTGGCATCAACAGCCAAGCCGACACTGCATACGTGCCGCGCGATTACCACAAGGAGGTTCAATGGCCAAAATTCGGCACAATATACAAAGCGTCCTGGAAGCAACGACAGCTATCACTTCTACCAGTGGACCTACGGATCAATTTGATCTTCAAGATGTCGCGTTTGCTAGCAGTGATATTTTTCTTGATCACATAACGTGAATTACAGTAAAAGGGGAACTCGCAATAGGTGAATACCATAGTGTAAAAGGAAGAATAGGAGGAAATTCACGTATGAGCCAGTATATTAATTCTGCATTTAGAGTGTTAGGTTGCAAGTTGAGGGAAAGACAGAAAGTGGGTGTTCCACAACTTGGTAGTTCGGGGGAAAAAAGAAATGTGATAAAGATGAGTGGATGAAAGTGGCAGGAAGATGACCTTCCAAGGCAAGCTCCGAAGAACAGAAACCAAGCCCGTATCGGAATCGGAAGTGCGAAGATGCATTCAATCATCAAAGAAAGAGAAGGCTGTGGGACCTGATGGGCTTCTTTCTGTTCCTTTCAAGGTGGGTAGTGATTCCCTTGTCGACTCAACTCCTGCCAAGAGTACTCCGCACAAAACACCACACATCTGTGGACAGCGCTGTAACATGGCCAATGTGGCTTGCCACTAAATATGGTCATCGCCCTTGCTTTTTTGTTTGTTTGTTTTTATTACACAATGTGAATTACAGTAAACGGGGAAGTCCCCATGGACAAATAGCATACTGCAAACGGGAGAGTAGGGGAACATTCGCGTAAGATCCAGTTTATTGATTCTGCGTTCAAAGAGTGTAAAGAGTGTTGGCGAGGAAACAACAAGGGGGAGGGTGTTCCACAGTGCAAGTACAGAACCTTGGGGAACACCAGCGTTCACAGGGAATGGCTGAGATAGTACCCCATCAACTCGGACGGAGATGGTTGGTTTACTGAAGAAACTTGATATTCACACTTCGAGTGCTGGAGGGAATCCGAACGTGGATAGTTTCGCCAGTAGACCTTCGCGCCAAACTCGGCCGAAGGCCTTTGAGATGTCAACCGAGACCAAGTGTGTTTCACCGTGTTTATCGAGTGGAGCTGACCAGGATTGTAAGACAAGAGCCAGGTCACCGGTGGAACGACGCGGTCGAAAGCCATACTGGCGGTCGCTCAGTAGTTCTTCGCGTTCAAGGAACGTGCGTAGCTGATCAGAAATGATAGTTTCAAATACTTTCGAAAGAACAGATGTGAGGGAAATGGGTCGATAGTTATCGGGGTTAGAAAGATCGCCACGTTTGGGAATATGAAAAATCACGGCGTGCTTCCAGGGGGGTTGAAAGGAAGAAAGTTGGAGGGAAAGACAGAAAAGACGACGTAAAACAGGAGACAGCTCGGGAGCACTTATTTTGAGGACAATGGGTGAAATACCGTCCGGGCCGGGTGGTTTGTTTGCGTTCAGAGAGCGCAATGTTTGACGGAAATTTCTACTGCTGATGAGGTAGACAAGGGTTGCCAGTGAAGAAGGAAGAAAAGTGAGGTAAAGTGGAATTGGCGGCAGATTGGGAAGCAAAAACCTCAGCTTTCTTGTGTGGTTGACATACAAGATCACCAGAGGAATTACAGTTAGGGGGGAAGTTGGAAGGGCAGAAATTACGGGAAACTGCTTTGGCAAGGGACCAAAATGGTCGGCTACCGGTGGCGGACGAGATCGAGTTTTCGGCTTTGCGGCGAACGGAGCGTTCTTTGGTTCTCTGAATGGTCGTTGAGCATCTGTTCCTAGCTTGCACGAAGCGATGGTGGGAGGGGAGTGGGCGAGCGGCGCCAGCGGCAGAGGACAGGGTTTGGAAGTGTGGAATAAAAAGATGCATTCCTTGAAGAACAACGTGGGTAAAGTTTGGATTTGGAAACATCCGAAGAGAAATCACGGAAACCGTCCTAGTTGGTTGAGTTGTAGCACCAGAATGTGTCTCGAGGTGGGTGGTGGCTCGGAGTTTGAAAACCTAATAGAGCATGAAACAATACATTGATCTAATGAACCAAGAGGAGGGAGGGTATCAATAACTGAGAAGAAAGAAGGGATCGAAGTGAGAATTAGATCGAAGGTGTGGGCACGATCGCCAGCATCATCATCATCGTACAGCGAGATGCAGTGAAGCGAGCTTCACTGATCGCTACCAAGGTCACAATGTGCACAAATCAAATGATAAAACAAAAGATGGAGAGGGATTGGGCCTACTCGGAGGGAGGCAAAGAAAAACAACCTCTATGTTCAACACACAGAGTACAAAATATAAGTGTTCATGCATACCTTTTTCAAGTATTCTGTCTTCTTAAGAAATGACAACAAGAGCGCCACTGCTGTCGGTCAGTCGCCATATCCCTTAATGTCTCCAGCCAACCAGTTGTAGAATCTTTCGGACTCCAACCTGGAAGGCGCGAGACACCTACTCTACCTAATGGCTCTGTGCAATTCTTCATGCCTCATCTCCACGTCATCTGTTGACCTCCACCGTCCGAATATGATGGAAACACGATGAAGTTTATGTTCGACACCGCACTTTAACCATCATCATATTCATCATATGTGCCCGTCATACATGTAGTCGAGTGGGTTTCGGCCC